GATTTATATTATTATTAATCCATTACACACAAGCTATTTTAGTTTAACAGTTATTATAAATCATTTATTTTAAATGAATGTTAATATATACAGATCGTATGTAATATAAATAAGCTGTAGAATCAATAGATAACGCTTTTTAAAAATGACTTTGTAAAAATATGCTGTATATTTCCAACTATATAAACTAACTTAACAAGTTTCACTTGTGACTGAGCAAGATCATTTCTTTTATTTGTCCTCTTTCATGAACAAGTACTTTTTTCATTGTAAATGCATTTAAGTTCATCATATTCTTCAATCTCTTAACCTTTAGCAAAACCTTTAAGCTTTAACCAAGGCTCGTGATTGGCTGTTCGCCAGTGATGTCACACATTCATGTGCAGGCGCTCCACAAACTCAGGATCAAAGCCTGAGTTGACAAAGAAAGTTGATGATCAGCATCATGGTACCAACAAAGCCGGATTGGAGTGGTTTGGTTTTGTCAACTCGAAACTAATCCTGTAACTCTGAATTTGTTTATCTACCATCATGGTACAGGCCCCCGTTCACACCAAGCACGATAACTATAAAGATATAGTTTTAAAAATCGTTCTCGATATTAAAGAATAGCATAGTTCACACACCACAACTATAACGACAACGATACAGAGGAACGATATCGTTGTGATTACTTTCAAAACTATTTTTTCCAGCTGATGAACGATAAAGCACTGACAGCCAATCAGAATCTATCCTGCTGTAACGAGCTCAAGAATTTAAAGCGGCAGACGCGCGTGCGTTAGACGTAATCAGACGATGGTGTGCACCGTTGACGATATAAATATAGTTATCTTTATAGTTATCTTTATTGCATTGGACAGAAGACAGTGGACATTTCATAGTCTGAGCAATTTTATTTATTTGAATTGATATCTTATACTTAATTTGAGATCTGATATCCCATAACTAAGTAATTGTATAGTTTGCAAAAAGTTATCAGGTCTTGTCATTTGTTTAATTGTTTTTTTTTTCTTCTCTCTTCAAGCACATAGACCATTACTCCAGAACTAAAGCTATCGCTGAACACATGGTGCTCGCTGCCAATGGAAGATCAACAAAAGGTACGGAAATGGAAACTTGTTGGTCTCTGAAGTCAATCCTTGTTAAGATCCACACAATGAATGATAATCATATACATTCCATGACGTGATAAATGTCAAAACAGAGAAGTTCCATTTTTTAAGATAGCATTAATATTATTTTCACTTTGTTATAATTTTGACTGTGAAGGAGTGTACTACTGTCATAATGTGCTGAAGTGAAATATGCTGGTCATATGTTTTCTTGTTCTACAGCTGAGGAGAAAGCAGATTGAGTCAGTCAATGTTGGCGGCACGAATAATGTCATAAACGGTGAGCTGCCACCATTAGATTCACTGATCCTGCAACTATTAGGCCTGTTATTCAAATAATGAGTTTAGTGTCTAATGGTATTTATCATATTTCCCATTCAGTAGTCCCAAGAGCAATTCGATTTAGGCAGATATATAGGCAAATATAGAGAGCTGTCTCATACAGGTGCCTGCAGATGATGAGATTTTCACTTTTGGCCAAATTCAATATTAGTGTGTGCTGAGTGTTTGGTTGGTGTGTTGTAGTCTGTACGGAGCGAGGCATCTCTAAACTCATCTACACCAGCACAGTCAATGTGGCGTTCGCTGGCCGGCCCATCGAGGATGGAGAGGAAGACTCAGTTCCCTGCGTGCCGCTGGACATGGTGAGATGGACACTGAGTGTGTGAGGATTTATTCTGCATTCAGCCAGTTTAAGTGTCTAAAGTGGACTATCGAAATAAAGTGTAACCAAAAATCCCAATTGCATCTGACTCTTATCTAGGGTTGCATGGACAAGCACTTTAAGAAAATGTGAAAATCTAATCTTCCTTTACCCATACCCAATTTTTAATCACCACAAACCGATCTGTTCCATTAGTGAGCATTGTGATCATAGGCATCAGATGTGGATGACTTTCACTAGGGATAAGTGTGTCGTGTTGGAGTGAACTCAAGCTGTGCTCCTGTGTGCTCCGCTTCACTGTCCTGAAGAACAGCCTGAAGTTAAGGAAGGTTAATGGAATCGAATTAGTCCACCTGACACCTCACTCGAGTGATGAAGCCCGAAGTGCTACACAAGTCACCTGCTTTTGTCTGCCCAAACTTCATACATGAATACATAACATCTGATAAATCATACAACAGTACAGCTTACACACTCAGATTTCACTGGTGCTCAATTTTGACTGAGGTTGACTTTCACCAACAGCAGGAAAAAAGGGTTTAATATGTACGTATGTATTTATTTATTTATTTATCAGTCAGCAAAAATATGTCCTGTATAAAGTCCCCTCTTTAAAAGGTTGATGTAAAATTATAAGAACTTTTTCTATGGAGTTTGTGTACATTACCATACCATATCTTATCTTATCTTGTCTTATCTTATCTTATCTTATCTTATCTTATCTTATCTTATTTTATTTTATTTTATTTTATTTTATTTATTTCAGAAGACAGTGGACATTTCATAGTCTGAGCAATTTTATTTATTTGAATTGATATCTTATACTTAATTTGAGATCTGATATCCCATAACTAAGTAATTGTATAGTTTGCAAAAAGTTATCAGGTCTTGTCATTTGTTTAATTGTTTTTTTTTTCTTCTCTCTTCAAGCACATAGACCATTACTCCAGAACTAAAGCTATCGCTGAACACATGGTGCTCGCTGCCAATGGAAGATCAACAAAAGGTACGGAAATGGAAACTTGTTGGTCTCTGAAGTCAATCCTGTCATTGCGCACAATAGCAATAAGCGCAAGTGGTATCATGTACCCTGCTCATATCGTTTGTGTGTGTGTGTGTAGATGTGTGTGTGTCCACTGCTCATGAGGTACTGAGGTAACGGCTGCTATGGTAATGACCACAGCCAGCAACCCAAGCCAACCAGACCCGCTGACACTCTTTTAAATTTAGACCTAGGCTTAATAATAAAGCCAAGCACTGAGTTTATTTGAAGCTGGCGTGTCTGAAGCTTATTCTGTGTGTTTGGATTCTGTGCTAATAATCACACACCTCCTTGCAGAACATAAGTGAGAAACAACTTTTTTTTATAGGAATCAGGAACATTGGTAATTTACGCAATGTGAAATTATATAATTAAATGTACATTTTATCCTTTTTTTTCTGGTTTACTTGTCGAGATCAGTATTAGAGTTATTTGATATCATGATATCATGTTAAACCAAAAAAATAAAACCTATATCGGCCAGTGTGATAACCCTGCCTGGTAACACTGTGTGCTGGTTTCCCCAAGTACCTTGGAGTATCATGAGAATACTGTAGCAGAGGATACTAGAGGAAAACATATCTTTTTTGTCTTCATTCAGACAGTGTAGCTAGAGAGAGGACAGGAAGCAAAGTGGTAGAGAGACAGAACCACGAGCCGGGACCCAAACCCGAGTCGTTCAAAGCGCAACCGCGCTATCTGTCCATGAGGCTATCATCTGCAACTTTTATTTTGCATCTTGAAGAATATGATGAGAAATAAATTTTCACATTGGAATCTTTTGATGACAGTTTGAGACATTGTTGAAGTCTCTTCTGAAACTTTAGAACCTCTGAGAAGCTGGAAACATTTTCTCTCTTTCATCTTGTAAGAAACAAGTGAGATAATAAAGAGACAATTTTAATTATTTTATTTTAAATGTATATTAAATGCAATTACTTGAACTCTAGAGTGCTTTTTAGGACTTAAGCACCTTTTTATATGCAATTCCATAATTGTGATTGTCTATTTATAGACTTCTGTTGTGATGTTCTGTTGTGATCTTCAAGTATATATATATCTTCAAGTACAGTTTTTTTAAAACAAATGTTTAAGATCTGAAGTAAACTACAAGTGCACATTTAAAACAATTAAGCATGCTTATTTGAATTGATTCAAAGAATAAAAATCTTGTTTAGATTATATTTACCCATCTATTAATTTATTTATGAATATGAAAAAATAGATCTTGAACAAATTGCTTATGTAATAATGAGGTGTTGTTGTTGTAGGTGGTGGTCTTCTACACACATGTGTCCTACGCCCTTCTGGTATCTATGGTCCTGGAGAGAGAAGACATTTACACAGGGTGATGGTGAGTCCACTTATTCTCTTGTTCTCTCTCCATCTTTATCCTTTGCCTCCTTTACTCTCTCTCTCTCTCTCTCTCTCTCTCTCTCTCTCACACACACACACACACGCACGCACACACACACTCGCACACTCGCACACACACACACACACACACACACACACACACACACAGGTCCCAGACAGTTGTACTCTGCAGCTCAGCTTTGCCAATGTGCCCAGAGCTGTACAATATTAATGGAGTCTGTGAGAGGCTCCTGTTACAGACTGTGCTTCAGCTGTACCTCTACATACAGACACATGACTGTCTGTGCTTCTGCTATGACTACACACAGACACACGACTGTCTGTGTTTCTGCTGTACCTCTACATACAGACACATGACTGTCTGTGCTTCTGCTGTGCCTCTACATGCAGACATATGACTGTCTGTGTTTCAGCTGTCACCCTACATACAGACACATCAATGTCTGTGTTTCTGCTGTCACTCTACATACAGACACATGACTGTCTGTGTTTCAGCTGTACCTCTACATACAGACACATCAATGTCTGTGTTTCTGCTGTCACTCTACATACAGACACATGACTGTCTGTGCTTCAGCTGTACCTCAACATACAGACACATCAATGTCTGTGCTTCAGCTGTCACTCTACATACAGACACATGACTGTCTGTGCTTCTGCTGTACCTCTACATACAGACACATCAATGTCTGTGTTTCTGCTGTCACTCTACATACAGACACATGACTGTCTGTGTTTCTGCTGTCACTCTACAGACATATACATGACTGTCTGTGCTTCTGCTATGACTACATACAGACAAATCACTGTCTGTGTTTCTGCTGTGCCTCTACAGACATATACATGACTGTCTGTACTTCTGCTGTACCTCTACATACAGACACATCAATGTCTGTGTTTCTGCTGTCACTCTACATACAGACACATGACTGTCTGTGCTTCAGCTGTGCCTCTACAGACATATACATGACTGTCTGTACTTCTGCTGTGACTCTACATACAGACACATCACTGTCTGTGTTTCTGCTGTACCTCTACATACAGAGACATCACTGTCTGTGTTTCTGCTGTACCTCTACATACAGAGACATCACTGTCTGTGTTTCTGCTGTACCTCTACATACAGAGACATCACTGTCTGTGTTTCTGCTGTACCTCTACATACAGAGACATCACTGTCTGTGTTTCTGCTGTACCTCTACATACAGAGACATCACTGTCTGTGTTTCTGCTATCACTCTACAGACATACACATGACTGTCTGTACTTCTGCTGTGACTCTACATACAGACACATCACTGTCTGTATCCTTTATTGTGTACATATATTGTACATACATATTCCCATATAAATGTGAATGTATGTACACACATATATACACACATTCACAGATTGAATTACAGCAGATTTCTAGTTTCCAGCATGCTTTGCTTCTGACTGTTAAAGGAGAGTAAATGTCATTTCATGTGTTTTTTTTTTTTTGCTCAATATTAATAGATCTGTTAGCACTTAATGTTCTGTTATTTTGGGTTTCTGATATGTCTGAGTTTTTGGGGTTACCGTTGTGCTGAGAAGTAGAGCCTGTGGTTAGGTTGACGAATGGCTGAACACCATTAAGACTATAGATTACTTTATTTAAAAAATAATGGGATCTGTTCTGTACTCTTCAGCACAGTGATAGACTCTTTGCTAAATACCTTAGTACATGCAGGTGTGCTTGAGCTGTTGTTGACTAGGTATATATAGTATAGTATATAATATATATATATATATATATATATGTATATATGTATATATATATATATATAT